TGGGGGGGGGGGGGGGGGGGGAGGCTAGAGCTGCTAGAGGATAGCCAGTTTGCTGAGGGCAGTGGCACTGCTAGATCCAGCCCCAGCAGCTCTGCGGCCAGCAGAAGCAGGAGAGCTGCTGCAGTCGGATGTTTAAGAAAAGTGCAAAGCTCAGATTTTCTCAAATCCAGAATCGGGGGAGGTGGAGCCTGGCAAACAGTGCAAACCCAGAGACCTGCAGAGGGGCTTTCTACTCCAATGACCAAACTTCAGAGGCATGCAAGGCAGAGAGAGCCTCAAATCGCCAAAAATTACAGGAGACCTTTCATTAACAAGGGATGAGGAAAACCCGGGCAGGAGGGGGGAGACGCAGAGAGAGCATCACACCAGGTAGCACCCTGCCACCAGATCAGGAATGGAAAGCAAAGGCATCCGGCCTCAGGGGAAGAACCCCTAACACACAGGCAAGCCCCGCCCTGGAGCAGATGCCTGGTCTGCCTCAGAGGACATTGCTGTCTGTGCTTCAGCAAAACAGACCCAACTCGTCATGGCAAAGTGCTACCGAATGGGTCCACCTCCACCTCCTGCCACACCAACCCAGGCTCGAGCGCAAGGCGGGGAGGACAGACTGGTTCCCAGACATCAGAAAAAATGGCCCCTCAGCACAGCTCCAGGAGAGGGAGTGGGAATGGAGCCTCTTCATGCATCAGCACAGAGGTTTAACTAACAAGGCCTGATGCAGGATTGCCAACTCTGCCGGGGGGGAGGGCGGGGGGAATGCAGGACTCAGCTCAGCTCCTGGGCCCCAGGAGCAGCACAGCCAGCAGTTGCCAATTGCTTTTCACTTGTCAAATGAACTAGCTGGAGTCACTGAGGACCAGAGCTCACAGCCGAGCATGGCCACCCTAATCGGAGAGGGGCCGAGGCTGCCGCCCACTGATGGGTTCAGCTAACTACTTCTGGGCTTGCGAACTGGCCATCATACTAAGACGCTGTCTAGCAGCTGATGCCTAGGAGATGCAAAGTGCCTGTGGAAGTGCAGGAAATCCAAGGCATGCGGATGGGAGGAAGCTCTGAGAGGCACATGGGCAAAGCCGTACGGGGAAGGTTCAAACACGGAGCCTTTCGAAAGAGGCCTAGGATCCAGTGGAGAGACAGATGCAGCGGGGTGAGGTAACTCGAGGACCTGGCATGTGAGAGAAGCTACGGGGAGGCTCCCAGTCCGCAAGTCCATGTCTTGGTTCTAGTCCGGCCAAGAGCCCCTCTGACTCTCATCCAGCACTAGCACAAAAGGAATCCGAAGGAGACTTTCCAAAGCCAGCTACAAAACAGTCCGTTCACCAGCCCGGCTGCTGCCCGGGGAGTCAGAGGTTGAGGATAGGCACGTCGAAGAGGTCACAGACGCCTTCGCTCTCATCCAGGTTGTAGATGTAGTCGTGGTCTCCGGGGGGAGGGGAGAGGCGGAGCAAGGGAGCAAATACTGTTGAAGAGAAAGCAGGGTCCTGCTGTTCACAAGTCTAGGAACCATCCCACCTACCACCCCCGACTGGAGCCTCCAAGTCCTGTCACAGGGAGACCTCAGCTCACGTTCATCCCACTCCTCCTTCGCAGCAGAGGAAACGGAGGGGAGAGTCTGCCGGAGGCGAGGGGGGACTGAGTGCCAGACAGTGTGGGGCTGCCCCCCGAATGCCAGACGTCGTACAAACGACAGCCACTGCCACCCCCATCCCCCAAAAAAGAGAGAGAGTTCGGAGGCAACAAAACCCAGCAACTCACCTTCGGACGACATCAGCTCTTCCAGCAGCTCGGAGTTCATACATTCTGGGGGGAGACAGCAGGGTGAGGGGCGCACTCTGCTTTCCAAGCGCCTAGGCTTGCTTTTCCTCAATACCCTTCCCCTCCCCCAAGTTCTTTCCTCCCAGTATCACGGAAGCCAAGTCTCAGACCTGAACTACAGGTAGCTCTGGAGCAGACAAATAGGAGCGCAGGACTCGAGCCATTAACTCCGTGGCAGAGGGAAACTGGGCCAAGAAATCCTGCAAGATTCTTGTGCCTGCTCCAGCATGACAAACCCTGCGACCGCGCCCCCCGCTGGCCCAGGTCTGGGACTCAGCCTCGTCCCTGCGACAGCGCCCCCCGCTGGCCCAGGTCTGGGACTGAGCCTCGTCCCTGCGACAGCGCCCCCCGCTGGCCCAGGTCTGGGACTGAGCCTCGTCCCTGCGACAGCGCCCCCAGCTGGCCCAGGTCGGGGACAGTACCAGTAATGCACATTTTCCCCAGCCTAAACATATTCCAAACACTTCTTTAGCCATTTTTGCTGCAGTCTCTTTTTAAAGTAGGCCCACTGAAACCTGGCAAGTTCGCATTCCTCACTGAGGACAAGTGACTGCTTGCATGTGTGGGGGCAGGGGATTTACTGGGGAGGGAGAGATAAAAATAAAAACTAAGCAATTAAAAACACGCGTCTGATCACGGTCTCTCTCTCTCCATTAACCAAGACAGTCGTCAAAACGTGAACAGGTTTCGACCTAAGCTGTGCCCACGTGCACCTATAAAGAGATTTTACCAACTAGCTCCTAGGACAATCTATACTCCTGGACAGCCACATCCATGATGTGTTGCTTCCCCACTCCCCAGAAGATGGTCTGCAAACAGCCACAGAAGCACTGCCCCTCCCCCAGCCAATTCAGCATAGCGAAGAGGGAATTGCAAAACCAAAACCATGCAGGATTTTTTCCTTTTCCTTAAAAAAGGGGAAATTAAATACAAAATCCATGTTGTTAAGTCTCCTACAGCAACGGTAACACGGGCACTGCCGAGATCCTGCTTGCTTGGTGGGATGTTTGAAAACCAAACGGTAAGCTATGAAGCTACACATATAAAATGAAAGACAGGACGCCTCCTGGCCTTCCTCTGCACGCCAGGGGGCAGGAACTTGAACTGCCCAGCCATCGGTCCCAACCCAGCCCCCAGGCCATGTTACTGTTAGAACGCAGAGACGCAAAGGTCGGAGGGATATTTGCTGCAGGCCCCATCTCTCTGGGTCCGGTAGTCACTGCGCATGTCAAACCTGTGCTTTAACACTGCACAAACCAGTTGTTTTAAAGAGACTGTTCTAGGGGCGTCTCACCAGCAGCCCCCGAGGTCAACTGCACCTTTCCCCTGCTGCTGCGTTTACCTTCTCTGCAGGATCTGGGGCATTCCCTCTCCACATGGCACAGAACAGGGAGTATTTATCTCCTGCGGGCACTGGCATGGCGCTTGCTGTGTACCGGCACAGCACATCTGCCAGCAGTGGGCTAGGAAGGGCAGGCTGGGGTGCTACAGCTGTTTATCCGGCCCATACAGCACAGCCTGATTTGCTGCCTGGTTGCATTTCACCTGTGTCACACACGCATGCTCTGGCGGGGGGAGCCCAAAGCACAGAGGGGCGCTGGACATGTGGATTTGGCACAGAGGATTTCATGGGCCACCAGCGGAGTCTATTCTGGGAGCTCACAACATGTGACTGAAGCCCGCCCGGCAGGCCTGGGAGGGTGAGTGGAGCGCTTCATGGAGACCGCTCTTGTGCGGTGACCTGCCGAATGGCAGCGGGACACTCTATGTGCTGCACTTGGTTGACATGCCCCAGTGCTGCAAAGCAGCGGCGTGCGCTCAGCTTGTTCTCTGGAGGCAGCCAGGCCAGCTGGCATCTTCACAGCAAGGCCAGGAAGAACCGCGCCAGGGGCTCAAGAGAGCAGCTCCGGTGAGAAGAACCAGCAACGGGAAGCCCATGTTACCTACATTAGACTGACTTCCTTAGCATTCCTCACTCTTGGTACCATTGTTCAACTGCATCACTCAGCGCTGCGGGGGATTAGCCAACGGCCCCAGGCTTTTTAACCCATGGTGCCAATGGGACAGCCTCTGAGCTGGGCGAGAAGAGAGCCACAGACTGGCCATGGCCAGTCTTCGGCAGCACCAGTACAAGCACTGTGGGGGACTGCAGAGACTAGTCTAGGCCGGTCCCCCACTCCACTAGCCCTGTGTGCACAACTGAAACAATACCAGCAGGGTCTGACTTATCACCTTAGTCCAGACGCTACAGACCAGACGGGGGCAGGCAGGAGGGGAGCCTAGGGCACCATTTTATGTTAGTATGGGGGTCAAGGGGGAGATTCGGTCCATGTCTGATGCGCTGGCAATACCCGTTTGTTGGCAGCACTGGTCACCAGTATAGACGGCAGCAGTCTGAACAGATTAACCGCTGTCACCCCAGAAGCCTCCAGCAGAGGTCGCTCAGCATCTAGTAAGCACAGAGACTGCAGGTGCCTTACAGAACCAGGTCCAGAGAGGAACCTGAAAGGACTCCTGTGCAGGGCCTCCTTCTTGTGCCAAGGACCAGTAGAGGAGAGCTGAGAAAGGGAGGGAGAACAGAGCCCTTCCCCCCTGAGCACAAGGAGGGCAGGCAGGCACAGGGCAGCAGGGGTGGGGAGGGATCAGTGTACCTCGTGTTGGATCAAACATCTCCGAGAGTTCTTTGGGAAGTTCCAGCACTGTAAAGACAATGAACCAGATTAGTTGGCATTGCACCATGCAAGGTCTGAAATACAACAGCACACGCCAGCCCCACCTAGGGCCCCCGTCCTCAGTCACCCACACTGTGGCCCAGCACACTTCCCAGTACGCGTTCTCCCCGCACACGGCTTGCCATCCATCCGAGTCTCCACACCTGGGCGCGACACATCCAGGCAACCACCAACCCACATCCCTGGAGGGGGACACCACCCCCTGCTTGGAAACAGGGGCTCTGCAGAGGGAGGCTCCCAGACTCAGAGAAATGAGAGAGGACGTGACCCATAAGAGCTAGCCCCCCTGCCTGCCTGGACAGCTTGCTCCCATACAGTGACTGTGCCAGACAACATGGCAAGCTGAACGTAAAGTAGGCAGCAGGTGCCCTGCATTCCAGCCCACGCTGGTGCTGCCAGCTGAAAATTCTGCAGCAGCTTCATTTATACTAAAAAGCTGGAGGTTTACTACTCTCGGAGCTGTTGTTTCAGGCTGTCTGCAGACTCAGGAACACAAAACTGCAGCAGCGACACCTGGGTCATGTTTTCAAGGCTCTCTTCACAACCAGGAGGGCAAGTGTGTTTTCCCCCCTGAACATCAGCTCAGATTCGGGAGTACAAGTCTATGTCAAAGGAAGGAGGAGCACACAGATAGGGTGACCAGACAGCAAGTGTGAAAAATCAGGACAGGGGTTGGGGGGTAATAGGAGCCTATACAAGAAAAAGACCCCAAAATCGGGACTATCCCTATAAAATCAGGACATCAGGTCACTCTACACACAGAGTTCTGCTCACCTAGTGCTCTGTCCAGCCTGGCCTTCAGCAAACCAAGCAGCTCCCTGGAGACTATTCCACAGCCAGACACTGGACCCACTCCTTATCTCAGTCTCCCCATTCTTCCTTGTTATACTGTTCTCCCCTGGCCCTCCTTCCGCCCTATGTCCTAGTCTGTCTAATGCTTTTCACCACAGCCACTGGCACTTCAATTAGTCGCCAGGACACACCACAAGACCAAGTCAGCAAGGCCTAAACCTTGAGGAGCTCTCACAGCTGTGGCCTGCAGAGCCATCAGTTAACATGGTGCGACCCCAACCCTGGGAATCCCTCCCTTGGTCCCTCTTGAGCTCCTGGACATGCGGCCCAGAGCTCTTCCTATCTACGGGCCACTCCGTGAGGCCCCCCTGAGCCCCTCGCATTCTTTAACGAACGTGTCTTCAACCCCAGCGCGGCCGGGCCGAGCTATCACACACATCACACAGGTGTGGGAACTGAGGCTGAGTGACTGGCTCAGGGTCACACACGCATTCTTTAGTGTAGCAGGGAACTGAACCCAGACCCCCAGAGTCCCAGGCAAGCACCCTCACAACTGGCCCCCCCACCCTCTTTGGCCACAGCATGGAATACCAACACTACGGGGTGGGGTCCGTGCAATGGCCTGTCTCTCCTGACCAGGCCCATCAATGGAAGCGGTGGAGACTCTCACCCCACCTGCGTCTCTGCTCTCCTGCCTCACTCCCTCCTCTCCTGGTTCCCCATTGCCTCCTCTCAGCCTGCTTCAGGCACAACAGCGTGGGCCGCCTCCCCCTGCCACGCACCCTCTCCTTTTCTCTTCAAACCCTTCCGGCTCAGCCTGTGGAATTTCTAGGGGCTGGCAATTCAGCACAGGGGCTCTGCCCCCAGGGTGACTCCAGAGCCACCACAGGGCGGCAGGGCAGCTGTGCTCTGGAAAGGAAAAACAGAACGAGCGTCCTGGCTGCTTGTCAGTAAAGAGCCCCCAGCCCTTCCCCACAGAGCCAGGCTGTTTGCAGTGCCTGGCTGTAGTCCAGCTCGGCTTCTCTCACGTCCCCTAGAGGGATACGGCTCCACTTCCGGCTTACACTGCCGCACTGCGTGAAACAGCCGGCAGGTCCCATCCCGGAGCAGGCTGCGCTCCTGGGGCGGGAAAGTGATGCCCATGGATCTCTCAGCAGAGCAGTGTGAATACCTTAGATGAATGTCCCTACAGAGAGACTCAGTGTGACTGTAACCCTGAGGACTGGGATGAAATTAAGAGGAGAGGGAGGCTAGTTATCAGGAGAACCCTCCCAACAGACTAGGGAACAGTCCCAAGGGAACGGCTGAAAGCCCCCCTGGACTGAGGCACTCAACTGGACAAAGCACTAAAGAAGGGACTGTTAGGGGAGAACCCTGCACCGCTGGCAGGTAACGGGATAGATGGGGGTCCAGAAGGGACCTCTTGGGTCAGAGCGTCTGCTACCAGCCTCAGAACGCAGACAGTAAACAGCGTCTCACCGGAGAGCCATCTCCGTCAGCTTTTTCACCCTCACCGCCGCCGTGCACACAGCTCCCCTGGGGGTTCAGGGATCTGCCTGTCCCTGCCTTTAGATCCCAGCTTGCAGGGCTTGACTGAAGCCTCTCAGCAGAAAGCAAAGCAGAGCTCAGCCCTGTCTGGGCAGCGCCAACAGCACTTCAGCCCCTTGCCTGCGGCAGAGTCCCCCAAGGCCATACTCACTCTCTGTGGGATCTGGCTTGATTGGCTCAAAGGAGGTAGAGGGATTGGGCAGGACGGAGCTGCTGTCTAGCGAGGCAGATGACTGGAGCGGCTGCGTATCTAACACCGGCGGCTGGCTGGCTGGCGTGGCCACCGAGCTGAGAGGGTCGAAGTCGCTGCTGCTCTTGGACTCTGCTGCCGAAACGCTGCATTCTGTTACACACACGGGAGGGCGGGGCGGATTTCAGGGGACTCCAGAATACGTGACCCCAAAGCAGCAGCCACAGCCCCCAGCAAATCCAGCTGCTGCCCCCTCGTTAACAAACCTGGGGTAAGTGCAACAGACACTGGCATGTCCACAGACAGACGGCTTTCTGCCTGGTTCTCTCTCCCCCGGACGAGCCTGCGTCCCTAGCACACACAGACTCGCTGTCCTAAACTCTCCTACTGCCCCCAGAGGCTGTCACCTCCCCCAGCACCTGCTGGCATCTGCTGGCTGAGAGCACTGTCTCCATCACACTCCCAGCCAGCTGGCTGGGAGGTAGCAGAGGGGTCACTGCAGTGAGGGGACGGCCAGCCTGGCCCCAACCAGAACAGGAGGTAAGGGCTGGAATTTACTGACTCAGTGCTCTAGTCATTGCACTTCAGCTCCCATATACGCCCACAGCCCATTGGTCGTGGAAGACGTAGGGCGGAGCTGGGAGGACCCAATGGACTACAGAACAACTCTGGCAGGGACGGGGGAGATCCACGTTTCGCTGTATCTGGACATTCGGAAGCATTCCCATATGAACTCCAAAGTGCTTCTAAAAAGCCTCCCCCATTCCTAGCTGGTACCTTCCCACTCGCCTGGCCACCAGCCCACTCCTTGCTCACCTGGGCTCGTTGTTTTCTGTGCAGCCGGGCTGTGGTCCTGAGTGCTGGTCGGTGTGGGCGTGGACGGGTGCGTACTGCTGGGGACAGATGCCTCCTGGAAGTGGGCAACAGGCGATCTCTGTGGTTTAGCGGGCACGACTGGCTGGCACTGAATGAGGTCTTCAGGGGGAGGGACAGGGAGCACCACAGGGGGGGAGCTCAAAGCATCTTTGTTTACGAGGAGGACATCAATTGGACCACTAGTGCTTTTCAGGTGGATCTGATATTTCTTCTGTCCATTCAGGCCCTGAGGAAATCAGGAAGCAAAGTACCCAGATACAATTAACAGCAGTCCTCAAAACAGGACTTTAGCTTCCCGGGGCAATATCCGCGCTCTGGAATGGCTCAGCATGCTACAGGAGCTCCTCCCTCCCTCAGACAGCTGCTCCCTACTCCAGCACACTCGGAATGATCCTCCTTCCCCCGACAGAACAGCAGGCAAGCCATGCCCACTCCAGCCAACCCAGGCCACCTCCATCCCAATCGAACACAGCACCCACCTCCGGAATGGGAACCTCCAACCGAGTGCCTGATGGGGCTCGAATTGCTAGGAGGGTGTCTCCTGTGAAAACAGACTGGTCAGCGCTCGAAGGGATACCTCTGGCTGCTGGGCCCACTGTGGGTTGTCATTCACCCAGCCCCTCCGGGGAGAACTCCTGCGCACTCCCACCAACCAGGGCTGGGCCACCCTGCCTTCCTGGGGGATCACCATCCATCCTTCACAATGCACCCCTGGCCCAACACACTAAACACAGGGGAAACTAAACACAGAAAACAGAGCGCTACGGGCAGAAGCACACGCACTCAGACGTCATGGAGGTCCCTCCCAGGGCAGGACCAGGATGATCCAAGAACACTTTGTATGGGTATCCTGAATGGCATGCCCTTCCTGCTCCCTGGAGAGTCCCCCTCTTGCTCCAGCACTGCAGCTCAGCCCTCTGACACAGCCGGATTCCCGAGGAAGGGCTATTCTCTGCACCAGGCCCCAGTTCAGTTTCCACAGTCACTAAGCGCTGAGCCAAAGGAACAGGGAGTTATGTGGATTAACACTGTTTGCGCTGGTTTTTAAACGTGCCCCATAGCCACTAATGAAACGGCCCAACAGGACAGCAAGCAGGCCGGGAGCGACGCTCAGAAATCAGACAGACGCTGAGTCCAGCAATAGCTGTGAGTAGGGCCAACACAGGATCGCAGACACTTGACTCCAAAGCTTTCATCCTTTGAGAGAGAGAGAGAGAGAGCGCTCAGATATGATCTCCAGGGAGCTGTCCTAGGACCCTGCCAGCGATTCAGAGCTCGTGTGTCGAGTGCTAGGACTCTGGTAGCAAGAAAAGAGGGTCTGAGCGTCTCCAGAGGAAAAGGGAGCTAGGGGCAGGGATAGAGACCTGTGCAGGGAGTGACCCCAGAAACAGCCAAGTTCAGGTCAAAGTTTATGTGAGTTATTGAAGTTAGCAAGAAAGGGACACCAAAAGGGGAGCAGTCGGGGCCCATACCCAGCATGTGCCGAGCTGAGCTGGGAATGCCACCGCCTTGAAGACTCTTTGATGTTGAACCCCTTTCTTTCCAAAGATGTGCACGTAGTCCTAGGAACTGAAAACAAGTCAGCTTTGTGTAATATCAAGCCACCAGTAAGCAGGAAATTCCCAGCATTCCTGCTGCTCCTGTAGTACTAATTTAGCTACACTGCACACCTTCCGTCAGCTCTGGCTGGCACCAACACCACGAGTTCACGTTTAACACAGAAAACAAGACTAGAAGTTGTGACGAAGTGGGGGGTTTTTCTTGTTTTCTGTGGAGTTTCAATGGTTTGCATGCGGACAGGGTGGGACTCAGTTTCCCTGGGTGTTACTGGTTTAACGAGGTGAGGGGAGAGGGAGTGTGTTTTGCAGAGGACCGGAGAGAGGACTTGGGGACCCAGCCGATGGCCGGGAGGATGGATACCCCAGCGACCGGTGACCTGGCGACCCAGAGGCCCAGCTGAGGAGACGCAGCCAGTTCTGGCCAGTGGGCGGACAATGGGCTGCAGAGTGAGGACCCAGTGACCTAACCAGCCGGTTCCAGCCAGAGGACAGAAGCGAGGAGAGGAGGCCCCAGTTTACAACCCTGTTTACCTGGAGGGAAGACAATGGACAGAGGCGGGGCCTGGGGCCGGTGATCTCAGATGCCCAGCTGGGAGCAGGGGGGCTCTGGGCTGGAAAGGGGGAGCAGGCAGAGCCCACCTGGATGCAGAGAGACTGGGATGTGCTGAGGGAGGCCAGGCCTGAGGCCCTGAGAGTTTCCTGTGCTGTGTTCAACTCTCAATAAATCCTCCTGTTTTATGCTGGCTGAGAGTCACTCTGGTCTAGAGAACAGGGTTGCATCAACCCCTTCGGGGGGTGGAGGCCCTGGGGGTCCAGAGCGAGTGGACTCCCTGAGGGGGCCCACGGCAGAGACAGACGTGCTAAGGCTCAGATAGGTGTGGCTCCAGGAGGTGGAGGGGCCTGACCCTGAGAGAGAGTGGACCCCCGAGAAGGGCTGTCGCACTGAAAGGGGCACCCCCCACGGACTGCACGGGGCCAAGAGTGGGCACGATCTGTGAGTCCGTGACAGAAATATCATACCCATGCAGCACAGCTGCACTCATGCTGGCCTCTGTGTGACTGATATTTCAGCCTTTACATGGCACAAATTAGTTTTTTGCCTTTAACTTCTCATGGTTTATTAATAAAAATAGGTAAAAGGGAGGAAAATCCCAAAAGTCACAAAAAAGGAAGAACAGTGGGAGAGAAAGTTCTTTAATCTCAGCCCAGTAACTAACGGCTCTCCTTGTAAATTCCCTGGCCCAAAGCAACCTGGCTTACAAAAGTTATTGCCAAATCTTGTGGTGTTTGAAAAGTGAAGAATCTTCAGCAATTTATCCTTACCAAATACATCTTTAAAACACATTAAAATATGGACAGAAGAGTCCTAAAGTACATGCTTAAATTCCAAACTTTCAATGTTACTACAACTATTGAAACATGTTTCAAATTTGCCTTGAACTTTAAATCTCAAGAAACAAGCCAAGTCTGATGTTTGTGCCTTGATCTTTTTCGAGTTTGAGTGAAAATTTTAAGCTAGCGACATAAGGTAAATTGGTATTTTTTCCACTCAGTCTAAGAAACAGCGCAACCTATTTTCATTCAGTTTTTCAAAACAAATTCACATTTGAGATAGGGCCAAACATGGGAAACTTCAGCCCACAAGTCATTTCCTGAGAAAAGGGGGCAAGGTGGAATGGAAGTTGGAATTCAGCCTGAAGTACAAGGCTGTGATATAAGAGACCCAGCAAAGCAGCCTTCCAAAGATCACCAAGAGTGGAAAGTCAGATCTCCTACACAGAGATCAGCTTCACCCCTGGGAGGCCAGCTGGGATCACCCTGTAATACCACGAGGAGACAGGCTGAGATGTCTGTTTTAAAACAGTTGGATAATTCAGATTCGCTCCCAAAAAGACAATCGGTGACCTTGAGTCCAGCTGCAAGGCCTTCCCACTGCAGAGTGAGGTTTGGCTTCAGATGTAAATCTGCTCTGAAGAGCAGGAGTGACAAGCAACCGCTGAACTCTTTTAGACTTGGGCTCTTGCACCTCAATTGCCTCCCACGCATAATGGCTACCACACAACATTTGTCTACTTCTGTCCCATCACATCCTCCCATGCGATTACAAGTTATTTGGTGCCTTACATTTTCCTGGTGCGTTACACAATCCCTGCCCCAAGGAGTCAGAGACCAGACATGGCACAGCAGGAAAGCTGAGGGTTGCTGTGCACAAGTTACTGGAAGGAAAACAAGAGAAGATTCCTGGAAGAAGGTGGCTCTTGAGGAGAAGAGAGAAAGAGCTTGGTGAGTAGGTAGAGAAACTGTTGCAAGCCCAGGAAGCAACATGAGGTCAGGCGCAGAGTCAAGAGAGGGGAGGACAATGGAAGGTGCGCTAAGGAAAGACGACTGGGAGGAACGCTGAAAGAAATAGGAGCAAACAGTCGGGGGAGGCGAAATCATGTAGGGCCTTGGATCTACCAGGGCCTTTGAAATAAAGGCATTTATTTGTACAAATGAGGCAAAGAAAAAGGAATGCTGGCTCTTCTCAGTCATATGCAAAGGCCTCCAGCTGGCAAGCAGTGCATCTCAGCCCTGGGGAGGGTTCTGCTATGGCTTCCCTAGGAAGGGATGACCTGCCAAGGAAAGCTGAAATCCTGCAATTAAAAACTTGCCCCATGGGATAACATGGCCCCAGATACAAAGGGACAGAGCAGACAGCCCCCTGCTACAAGTGTGCTCTTGGAATTCTATGGTCTACACCTTGCACAGAACAGTCCCACTCCCAGATAGGACTCCTCTGACTGCAAAGATGCAGCTTGAATTTAGTGGCAGCTGATCCCTGGGGTTGTGGGAGAAGATGCAGGACTGTCTCTTCAGGGAAGACACAGAGAGCACATCTTGGCGACCAGCCATCTCCCTCCTGGGAAATGGGGGAGCACAGCTGGGACAGCCAGGTAGGTCTGCTGCCTCAGGCCATGGGAGATTAGTCAGGGGCCCAGCACCATCTCCTCACCTGTGAAGCACTTGCAGATATCTTCGTGCGTCACATAGGCTAACGTTCCTGTGGTTAAGGAGAAAAGGTGCAGCTTCCTGTGGGGACACAGAATTCAAAGAGCACCTGGTGTAGTGTCTCCTTCCTGCATGCAGACAATGGAATTCCTAGAAGAAGCTAAATGCCCGCACCAGAGCCTCTGAAGTGGTCTACCTGCAGCAGGGTTAGCACTCACAGAGACCACCTGCCTGAGAATGTAGCACTGATGAGTCAGAAAGAGGCATTTCTGTCCCGAGTCTGTACTGAAGCGATGCCTCAACATGGTGCTAGGGGACACCACAGGGCCAGAAGTGATCGCTGAACCTCCTAACACACCTTCCCCAAAGGTGGAGCAGCCCCCAGTGGTCCTGGGGAAATTCCAACCCAGCTGATTACACTTGCCTCCCCAAACATTCCCTGCAGGGGCACATGGATAGTTTGCTTTACTTGCTGTTGGGTCATGTTACAGCACGCTGTTAATCAGCTGCTGTGTGCTACCCCAGACGTGGATGCATTCAGGGCTGGCTATTATTATGAATTATTTGTCCGAGCGTACTCCCAGGAGCCCATCCTGCTAGGTGCTATGCAAGTTACATTTGTGCAATGCTTTGCGGGATTTGATGAGAAAGTGCTATAGACATGTAAGCTCATTAGTACTGGAGGGAGAGGCAACCGTCCCTTCAGGCCCAGCCAGCCTGCAGCCAGCCCAGGGGGAGGAAGAGGGAGAGCAGCAGGAACCGAACCGAGAGCTGGGGGGGCTGAAAGGATATCTGCTATTCTGTACGTCTTCGGTGACATTTTTGATGCTCTGCTGGACCCACATCTTCTGCTGCTCCAGCTCCTGTTCGCGCTGCTCCAGGTCCTCTATCTCCGCCTTCAGCTCAATGAGTTTGTGGGCTATCTCACGGGTGTTGCAGCCCGGGCCCACACCTCTGTGCAGACAGAGAGAGGAATGAGTGGCCCAGCCTCATTAAGGGAGAAAATAAAATTTGCAGAGGGCACTGACTGCACCGCCTTGGAAAGAGGAGCCACTCCCAGCCCTCTCCTGACACACAGAAGTTGGAGCCCAGCTCTTCCACACCTCACCAGCTCCCAGCAGTGCCAAACCCATTCTCCAGCACCACAGCTAGAGCCCTTCTCCCATCGTACACCAGGGTCAGAGGCCCCAGATCTCCCATCTCCCCTCCAAAGCCTCCTTTCAGTACAAGAGGGTCAAAGCCTACTCTCCTACTGGGGGCAGAATCCTTCCTCTCTCAACACCAGGGTAAGGGTTGGAGGCATCTGTTCTAGTCAAAGCCCCTGCAAGTAGCTAGCATGCACCTGAAGCAACACCTACATACCTCAGCCGCTGGAGAAATGGCTCCCGTGTCTACACTAGCATTTCCCCCTCAAATTCCCCACAGCCGCTACTGGCGCAGCTCAGCTAGGGGAGCGCTAGCGTAGACCAACTGGCAGACACTGCACTCAGAATGCCAACCGAAGCTTGAAGCCATGGCTCTACTACCTCTGCCACCATTCCCGCCGCAGGTGGAGCTGCGCCAGCGGTAGCAAGGGCGGGAAATTTCAGAGGGGGAAACGGGGAGTGGATTGTGGGCAAGGCCTCAAAGTGAGAGGAGCATTGAGAGGAACCCTTCTCCCAGAATCCCCCCACACTTCTCAGAGCATCTCAGTCACTCACTTCCACTGGATACTGTTCTTGGATTTCTTCTCGATCAGCCCAATGCCCTCCAGAACATTTGTGATGTCGTAGATTCGCCGTTTCTGCCGCACCGCCAAGGTATCCGCTGCCTGGGGGTTAGAGGTGGATGGCTAACTCCAGAAATTCCCAGTTACACTCTGCTCCCCACGGCCACTACATCACCCCAATTACAGATCAGCCCCCCCTGCTTCCAACCGCATCTCCTTTGTGCCCCCACTTCTCAAATTACAGATCAGACACTGTTCCCAGGCACATCAAAACTATCACTGATCTGACCCACAGTTACTGACTCTATCTGCCCCACAATCCAATTTCTCATCCCACTAACACCTCATCAATCACAGACCAAACCCAGCCACCTCCCCAGCTCCTTTGGATTCCATGCGGATGGCTCATCTCCATGACATTGCCATGTTGGGAGGGGAATACACGTTACACCCATCTGGGGCTAGACGTTCACGTTCTAGGGAAGCTTGTGTGGCAACCTGCAAACTGGATGCATGCTCTTGACTGGTCAAACCCAGAGGGTAAGAAGGATGGGAATGGGGAGGTGTGGGGGAGAGAGAAGAAAGTGGGTCTACTAAAGGCAACAGTTCTGCACTGTCAGGGAGATGGGCTGGATAGTCCCACAGGCCTTTTCCACCTGACTTCCATGACGCTGGGTGGAAAGTGTCACCGCCTCCCTCAGGTGAGCCGCCAGCATCTCTCAAATGGGCATTGTTCAGCCCATGCACAAAAAGCCGCCCTCAAAATTTCAGCCCCCGGCTCTATTCTTTTTTTAAGCAGATTAGGGAGGGTGTGATGAGGCAGCTCTTGTACTACCCAAAGTTCTCCGATTTCCTTGACTCTCTTGGATGTAAGGCCCAGTGTCCACACAAGAAGGTTCCACTGGTGGAACTGTCCTTCGGTTGGCAGGAACTGCTGCACATTAACACACGAGTCCCTTGACTCCAGCTCCCATCCCAAGTAACCCCGCATAAGTGGGTATTACATCGGTGCTGGGCCAATGTGGACGCATCACCTGTCTGTACTAACAAACCCAGTGCCACACTGCACTGGATCTTGCAGAACAGACATGTCTGGCCACCTTTCTACACAGCAATGCTCCCGAAGCCACTCATCTGTTCCAATGATGCTGACAAACGTGACTCCCATTTGCCAGCCATTTCTGAAGCAAACACACACCACTTTTCTGACAGAATGTAAACATATTTGGTCACCTCCTGCATATGCCTGAAGCCAGACAGAGGTCACCAGTGTGAACACACACAGCTGGTGTGATATATATGGGTGTAACTCCACTGATGCATGTTGCACTGGTAGAACTTTCATGTGTAGACAAGACCTAGGTTTAGGCACGGGTATGAGATGGAGACTGTGTTGCTTACTCTGAACAAAGATCTCCAATGGACAAGGATAAAGCGTCTATGCCAATTCTCTACCCATAAGCTACCTTCAATACCACACAGTACAAGGCACGGATGACTCCTCTGCAGGCCACAGCAGAGGTAGGTATGGCTGTGTTTGCTTAGCTCTGTTATTTTCCCTCCCAGGACAGAAAGGCAGTAATGAGTAATTGTTGATCTGTCTCAAGGGCTCCCTGATGGAGGTACCACAGAATTCTGGGGAGAGAGTGACAGCCTTTGGGCTGTATTTAATAGCAGGATACAGAAGACAGGTCACTCTGCATCTCTGATTCACTGAACCTGGACTGTACAGGCACTTGGACTTCCCACTATCTGCCCATGAGTGGAGCCTCAGTGAGAGCAAGATCCAAATATGACCGAAGGTTGACGCAGCAGAGAGGATCTGTTGGAGCTGTTCCATTTGGGGCTGGGTGGCGTGGTGGCCTGTGCTGTACAGGGCTCAGATGAAATGACCTAGTGGTCCCTTCCGGCCTTAAACTCCATGAAATATTCACTGGGCCAAAGAAAGAGAGAATGACTCTATAGCCCAGTGGTTCAGGCATCCACCTCAGTCCTAACCACCATGCTATTGGCTACACTGAGGTCTCTCTCTCTTGGACCGGTTCTGAAAAACCTGCCTGACAAAAGTTTCCTCACAACGGACAGGTTCTGTGAAAAGCTTCACTTTTGACAAATCAGCATGTTCCAGAAAAACCAAAACAAAACCCACATTTCATCAATGAAATTCTGACCAGCTTGAGAGGAGTTCTGCTGCATCCTAGCCACGCCTGGATGCAAAAGTGCTTCCTTCGCTCGGCACTCAGCCAGCAGGCCACAGCCCTTCCCAGATCTATTAAGCCTCCTGTTTTCAGTCATCCCTCCCTGAGCTCCCAAGTGGATGACTACATCCATGCCTGCTGCCTAGAGCAGCAATTGCAGCACTGCAGATCCCAGGGAGATTCATCCAGCTCCCTAGCGTGCCTCTACCCAGACAGACGACCCCAGAGAGAGACCCAGTTCTGAAGAGTGAGCATTCATTCCACTGTCTTAGTTCTCTGGACAGTGACGCAGCTGGGAGTTTCTCCCCGTGGCCACCACCTGAGGTAAATGACATCACCTCTACTGACCTGGAGGATGCCAGTAGCCTCTCATAGGTGCCAACAGTTCTGGGAGGCAGATGCCCACCCCAAATGTCACTTCAGCACCCTACCCCCCCCCCCCCCCCCCCCCCCCCCCCCACACACACACCAACATGATAAGCAGCAGCTCCCAGGGGTAGAGGCTGAGAAGGCAGGCTGCAGCCCAGCACCATGGAAGGACATTCAGCTTAACCCCCTCCAATCTGCCCCTCGCAGCCCCATTCTACCTCTCTCCAGGCCCCATCCTGAGCTTCAGTTTATCCAAAGCAACTTTTTTCATATTGAATCTCCCTCTCTGTCCCCCAAAATCGTCCGTGTTGAAAAGGCTGCTCATCAGGGTGCTGTGAGCTGCACGTTAGTGATCTAGGACATGGTGGGGTGAGATAGCTTTGGGGACAGACTGTGCAGTGCGCTTTTGTGATGCATAAACATGCCGCTTGGTGTCAGTGATGTGAGAAAATGCATGTTCATCTCATCACTTACATGCAATCTCCAGCGCTTCAGCCAGAAATGGTCTGATTTCCTCTCTGCTCCTCACCTCCCCAAGCATCCAGGCCTTTATCAGTTCCAGGCTGGAGGAGGCAGAGTGCTCTACGAGGGGCTAACCCTAAAGATCATTTGGAAACTTCAGCTAGTGGAGAACTGCACGCCCCGCTTGCTTAGCAGCGCTTTCCCTGCGCCCTGCAGATTGCACTGGTTTCCTGTCAGGTCCCGGATACAACGCAAGGGGGTGATTTTGATCTATGTATCCCTTCCACGTTGGGGTCCTGCTTAATTTAGTGCTGTTTCTCTGTGTTGCAACCTGAGACGAGCCGCCGTGCTAGGGCTGGCAGGTCCTGGATTTGATCCAGGATATTATGCTCTCAGCGATCGGACCTTTGACTCTGGAAATTGCTTCCCTTGTAGGTGGGACACAGACCGGGTGTGTTGGCCTTCAGGGCACACTGGAAGAGTTTTTCTGGGGCAGGGTTTTGGCTCTTTTGCAAGGGTGGGGGCAACTCCTTTCACGTTGTGTCACTATGCATTTATGATAGGGAAATTGACATATTTATAAATACTTACTCCCTAGAAATATGGCTGATACTGAAGGCTCCACCCAGGCCCTGCACCCCTCCCCTCTGCCCACAGCCCCGCACCCAGCCCCATGGCACTAATCACTACTTCCCCCAGTGCACATCCTTCCAGCCTAGCACCCAAGGGCACCAAACAGGGCACACCTCAGCCTGGCCTCACAACAGCTTGGGCCCTACACAGCCCCCCACTTGGCAGCCCAGGTAACCACTTCACACCCTACAGATACCCCCCATCCCTCCGCAACCTCCCATGGACACATACCCCCCGCCCGCTCCCCCCCAGATACCCCCCCGCCCCCCCGGGACGCCCCCCCCCCGGCTCTCGCCCCCCGGGACAGCCCCCCTCCCCCACGGGACAGCCCCTCCCCCCCTGCTCTCGCCCCCCGGGACAGCCCCCCTCCCCCACGGGACAGCCCCCTCCCCGCTCTCGCCCCCCGCCGGGCCGCACCAGCTTGAGGTCCAACACGCCGTCCTTGGCCTCCTGCAGCAGCGACACGAACTTGGTGGTGAGCAGCCCCAGGCTCTTCTCGTGCCGGCTCGGGGCCCCCAGGGGCTGCGGCCCGGACTCCGCCATCTGCCTCCCCGCGCCGGCTCCTCCGGTCAGCCCGGCCGCTTCCGCTTCCGCTCGCGGGGCACGACGGGAGCCCGCCGGAAGAGCCCCGCAGCCGGGGCGGGGGGCGGGGCCCGGGTCCGGCCCGTTGCCATGGCGAGGGCCGGGCCCCCTCGCGCTGCTGGGGCCGCGTCGCGCGCGGACCCTCCCTCGGGCCACGGGGCGACACGGGCCAAAGCCCGGCGCCGGGGCAGCCCCACGCGTGTCCCCCGCCGGGGCCGGGGGGAGCGATGCCTCGTGTCCGTCTCATCCCGCCCGTGCGGATCCCGGGGCGGGGGGGACTGACCGGACCCAGCCCGGCGGCTCTCGGCCTTTCCAGCCGCTGCCCCCCCCCGCGGGGTCTGGTTTGTCCCCTGCGCCCCACGTTTCACCCCCTGTGAGCCGGCTCGCAGCGTCAGTGCTGGCCCGGGCCGGGGTCAGCCAGTGTCAGCGT